ATGCACTGTGTAAAAAAGGTTGCTATTTGTGCCTTTGTTGGCAACTGGTTAAATATTTAGTTGTTGAACAATTGTATGTCCAGTGCTCCTAATGTATCCACAAAAGTGATGATATTTCACTTGCAAACGGAATTGCTACTAGTGTGCAACTACAAAATCTGCTTAAAAATTGTGCAAACTAGCAACTTCCTCTGTGGAGCAGAGAAAGAAAAAAAGTACTGACCTAGTCCTTCTCATATCTCAGCAACTTCCTCCATGGGGCGGTGTTATGTGTGCTGGTGACCCAATGATATGCCAGCTTCTTCCTGATGTTCAGTACTTCCTTGGGATCGTAGTTGGGTAGTTGGCTACCGTTCCACTTGGTGGCGTTAAGCAGTGCGAACAGCCCACACTCATTACTATGATGGGCAAGAAAAGAAAATTTGTCACATAAAATTAAAACCAATAAAGATAATGCACTCTGTGCAACTGTTTATGTTCTACTGTGCAACTGCTTATGTTCTAATGTGCAACTGCTTATGTGCCACTGTGCAACTGCTTATGTGCCACTCTGCAACTGGCTAGATAATCCATTAGAAACTCATAAAAATGATAAAACAGATTGCAGACTAGTACTGTGTCTTAAAAAACTAAAGACTGCACATGTAGAAAAATTTAAAAACTACAGAATGATGGTAAGAAATTGAGAAGAGAGCCATGCTTATTGTCTTACTTGTCGAGCTGCTTCGGTACGTCAGTGTCAATAATCTGGAAGTGCTCGATGCTGAACTTTGGGTAATGCTTCCTCCATACCTGGCGTACTGCCCCCGCGATGGTAGAGGCGGTGGTCATCAGCTCAATGTCATCCAGCGTCCTGCTTGAATCAAGAACTTCGAAGCGTCCGTCCCTCAAGTTGACATTGAAGATCCAATAATGCCTCCCTCCCTCCTTATCGGTTACATCAGCGCACTCGAGCACTGGCAGCATGACCTGCAAACGTGAACGATTTCAGACACAGATACAGGATGTAGCTAAGAAAAAATAGTAAAAGACCTAGTCAAGTTAAAAAACAGGTTGCAACAAGTATGTGCCAACTAACAGATGTGCCATGTGCAACTGAACATGCTGTGGGTGCCAAACTAAAAAGAGATGGATCATGTGGGCACAGCACTCACCAAGTCCTTCTTGTCGAGACAGTTCTTGTAATCAAACTTCTTGTTTATCTCATTCACGTTGTGGATCCCTTGCTGTAAATTCATCTGCAGAGATTATAAAGCATGGCTCAAGCTCCTTAGTAGATGAAAGGCCTCCCTCAATTGGTCAACAAAAAAGTGCTACAAAACAAAGATGAGGGTAAACAAGGTTTTGGAAAAACTTACCAAAAACCTCAGTGGCATAACAACCTTCTTTGACCCTTCTGGTAAGTTATCCATGATGTGTAAGATTCCAGTCTCAATAACAATTTTTGACATCCATTGAACCGGCTTCATCGAATCAACTAACTCCTTTAAAGAAATGTAGAAAGCACAATAGCTGATTATCTCAGGGCTGATTTTTTTTTGAAAGCAATAAAAAGACAAGTTAGCTCGAAGGGTCACAACAGCAAAAAAAATGTGCATGAAATTGAAAACAGAACAGTGTGCAACTAAAATCCATGTTCTATGCAACATACTATGCTTTCTATGCAACTAAGTAGCTAGTCCTGTGCAACTCAAAAAGACATGTGTGTAGGTTGTGGGGAGTTAGTTTACCTGGTAGCTTCATCATTTGCTCCTTCGTGATGCCTGACCCAATACAAGAGGGCAGCATAAAGCTTGTTCACTGCCTCATTGGAGCTGAAAGTCTTCTTCTTGTTGTAGTCAATGAATGGAGACCTTTGAGATGCTGCGGGCCTTATTTCCCTCCTCTATCTTCGTGCAATAGGTGGTCCCGAAGAACTGCTCATGCCAGCTTCTGGTTCTGCGCATATCGGGGTGTGGCAATTCTCTGGTGATCCAACATCTAGCTCTTGAGCTATTGCCTTGTCAGCATCAGCAGCAGCGCATCCTTCATTCACAGCTGCTGGGTCCAACTCACACTCATCAATACGAATCACACTGGCTTCCGATGTTTCTGCTGCTGGACCAGGTGCTGGAGCATGACCATCTATGCCGAGGTCAAAAGATGGTGCATCGCAGACCTCGTCACCATGATAGGACTTTGATCTTTGTATGGGTTCAAGGACCAAGGCATCTCCTTGCGGCACAAACACAGGTGCATCGTTCACTGACTTGGTTTGCAGTAGTGTTGTAGTTGGCGGCCTTGGAGGCTTGCACCTACTTATAATGTTGAACACCTCCTCTTATGTTAGTGGTTGCTGAAAGTCAGCTCTTGGTGATGCAGGCTTGCTTGGCTGCTGTGTGCTGGCTCTTGGGGACGGCAATTTGGTAGTAGGATCACCTCCTTTTGTGTTTGGCATTGAAGCATCTCTATGAGTAGGCACCTTGGGGCTTGCAGTTGCAGTGGTGCCTTCCTGAGCAGTTGTGGTGGTTTTGACTGTGATCACGCTGCTAGCTGACACATCAGTTGGCACATTGGTATCTGTAGTTGGTATCTTTCCAGTCTTAGTTGGCAGCAACCTAGCAGAACTTGGCACCCCTGCATCAATGGCTTCGGCTCACAGTTCTTTCTCGTCTCTGAACCCCAAACCTTTTGTGGCATGTTCCCCCTTTGTGCCCCTGGCAAACTTGACAATCTTTTGCTGCTTAGGTGGTTTTGGTGGGACTGTTGAAAGGGGAGTCTTCCCCTTGATATGTTGAACTCCTGTGATGGTGGTTGGCTCTCTGCTCACTACAGTTGGCGTATCAGTTTGAAGCACAGCTTCCTTGACCATATTTACTTCAGCATCTGCACTCACCATCTTCTTCTTGGTTTGAGGCAACTGCAGATTCTTCTTCATTGAAATTGCTTTGGGCTTCTGGACCATGTGAGGGTTTGCCATGGATTCTGCCTTGCTCTTGCCGGAGCTTAGGTCTGGAAGCTGCTTCAAATATTCCTTGTATTTTTCCTTTGAATGAACCCAGTCAAGACCTTTTCCTGCTTCCTCCATGTCAACTTGATTCTTTTCAGCAACACTTGATAAGAACATGCTCTTGTCAATGGCAAAGTTGATCTTCTCACACATATCTTGGTCGCTAAAATCTGGAACAGAGAAGGTGGTTGCCAAAGCTGGCTTCAAGTTGCAGAGTTTGAACATATCAATGCTTCCCTGATACTCTGCTTCGTCATTTTTCTTTGACTTTGGCAAATCCTTGTCTTTCCAGCAAGTTTTGTTGATTAACATCTGTAGTGTGCTCCTGCTACTCAATGAATTGTTGCTTCTGGCAGGGGTGGCAGAAGTGCTAGTCCTCCTGGATGTGTTGTCGCCTGTACCACCAGAACCAGGGGCGTTGTCATCATCGTCATCATCGCTGCTGTCGCTACCTCCATTGGATCCTCCAACATCATCACCATAACCGTCCTCGTCTTATTCATCGTCGTCTTCTTCCCTCTCACTGCCATCAACTGTTGCGCCTTTGTCTTCTCCCCTCTCACTACCATCAACTGTTGCGCCTTTGTCCCCGTCCCCCTCTTCGGCCTGACCTTCTTCTTCCTCCTCCTCTGCCTCACTATCTTCTTCCTCCTCCTCCTCCTCTCCTTTGTCCTCTTCTTGTTTGTCCTCCTCCTCCTCCTCCTCCTCCTCCTCTTCCTACTCCTCCTCCTCTGCATCTTCTTCATTGTCATCCTCATCCTTGTCCTCCTCCTCTGATTCATCCGTGTCTGTGTCCCCGTCATCATCAACATCTATTGCTGATCCATTTCCTCATCTTCTTCTGACTCATCCTTAACAAACTCTTCTTCTTCTTGTATAGTTGACCCCCATCTCTTTCTTTTTGGAGCACGGCATGACGCCCCGGTTTGCATTGATGGCTGTTGTACGTAAGGATCAATATCCGGTTCCTCGTCATCGATCTTGGCAACTGCTACAATGAAGGTGCCAACCTGTTCAGTTACAGCCTTGCACAGGTCATTGACCACTTTCGCAATCTTTGCCTTTTTCTGCATCAACACAAAAAAAAGATTCAGTACTGATTCAGTAAGAAAAAAATAAAAATAAAAATGTATGTGACTGACCATGATGTGGTAAACAAAAACCGACTAATACACACATTCTGGCCAACTAAAAACATGATTCTAGCCAACTACACATGCACTATGGCACAAACTAAGAACATGCATTCTACCAAGTTGATGTCAATGGTTGTAAACGAACACTTTGACTGTCCAAAAGAACATGTGCAACTACAGAAGCTTATATGTGCAACTGAACATACATCACATCCAACTGAATCCTGTATTCTCGCAACTACAAAAGTTATACATGTCCAACTGAACATACATCCCAGGCGAAAAGAAAAATGTTTGGTAAGTGGTACAAATTTCTGTATGAAAAAGACTAACCTGTGGATTGTAGGTTATTGGTAACTTGGATGCCACGAATGCTTTAGCTTGCAAAATTCCACCAAACAGTGGTGTCTGCTCCGTGCCTGTATACTCCTCTTTAAGTTGGTGTAAAAAAGAGAAAAAGAAAACAACAAGGTTATCAAAACATATTTGTGTGTTGAACAAAACCAAACATTATAACCTGTGCAACTACAACAAGATACTGGGGTAGACAATTAGACTATACATATATGCAACTGAACAAAGACACAAAAACTGTGCAACCCACATGGGACCTGAAAAAAAGTTTCTACCAACTGATGCCACACATCTGTGCAACAAGATTAGTAAAACTGTGCAACTTAAAAAAATATGGTGTGCCAATTTAAAATGAACATGTGTGCAGATGCCAAACTTAAAGTTACAAGCTGTGCAACTACATGCATTGTTGTGCCAACTGATGACAGTTTTTGTGCAATTTCCAAAAAAAAGTGACCAGACATCAACAGGCTACCTAAAAAAGAAGAAACTGTTGGAAAAAAACAAAGAGAACTCACTTGTTATTTGCCGAACATACCAGGAGAGATGGTATCCTTCTTGATCACCTTGGCAATTAGAGCACTATCCCATGCATTCGATCGTATCGCGCAGTTGCTTACTGGGATGTTGTGGACAAGCGCATCAAGGTATAGTATCTTCACCAGACCCAACAAAAGAAAAGCCAAGTTCAGTTATTATTATGAGTATTTCAGCAAACTATAACTGCACAAAAAAGAACAAGAACAGATGGAAAAGTGGTCGTTTTCACTAACCATCAAGTGATACAAGCAGCAGCAGACAGTTTGCTTATCCTGGTCCATGTTCCGGAAAGCTTCGTTAATGTGTTCTGCTACAAAGAGGCAGATGTTTGTGTTCTTGATCATTTCATGATCTAGCACAAGTCTGTAACACTTTGGGCTGAGCTTCAAGGCCGTGGTTGGTGCTAGGAAAGTGCTAAAGGCAACCGCAAGCCAGGTCATAAAGAATGTGTCATCTGTTCTTCCAGCCATATCCTCAATCATCTTGGTCCATGTACTGATTTGGGGATGAGAAGTTCCAGTTATGTTGAAGGTCTCTCTGAATCTCCTAGTTGTATCCTTGTCAACTTTATAACTGACTTTTTGACCCCTGTTTGGGAGATCAAATACCCTTTGAACACTGTCAGCATCGACACGGATCCTTCCCCTTCCTGGGAAAACCATTTCAGAGGTCTGTGGCTGGTAGGACTGCACCAGGAACTTAGTGAGGTCTGCTGGAAGTGTGTCTGATAAGTTCAATAGCCCCCGAACAACCTCGAAACTAGCTCTGACTTCTGTGGTGGGGTTAGAGAGGCGTTGAAATTTGCAAACCGCGCTAGTGATGCCCTTATCCTGCCCGCTTGTGATGGTCGCTCCACAACTTCCCCCGCAACCACCTCAACTCCTTCACCTCTGGCCTGTTAATGAAAATATAAAAACATTAAGGAAACATTAAAAACAAGAGAAAAAACAAGAATGAAAAAAAATTCTAGCAATCATCATTTGGATCAGTATTGGGAAAAGCTATATATTCATAAAATGGATCATGCCAACTAATATGATGTATTTGTGCAACTAATAAAGATCATGAGGACAACTGAAGACTGCCAGTGTGCAACCTTCAAAAAAAACTAAGAAAATATACGATACCTGGCAACTATAAAAAGTTCTAGCGGATGTGCAACAATAAGAAATGATATTGCAACAAGATAACAGCAACTGAAAAAAAGGTTTGCAAGGAACTGTTCAATAGCTCATAAACAGAAAAAAATCACATACATCAGCATCTATTGCGGAAGATGCGATAGCTCCTCCAGCAACTGCTGGCTGCACAAAAAAATGACCAGTGATGTCAACTATAAAGAATCCAACTTGTCAACTACAAGATGCCAACTAATGCCAACTAAGTGCCAACTAATGACCAGTGATCAACTGTATTTAGATCAAGATGACTACAGATGTCAACTACAAGGTTGTTATTGACAAACTAAAAACAAAAATAGTGGTGAGAACTGCTGCATAATTTCATCAGTGTCTAAAAAGCAAGAAACACTTATATTCGAGAATTTACTTGCCCTAGAAGATGACTCAACTCCCTTTCCAAGTGCTGCACGTCTAGTCCGCTTTACAACACGAAATTGATCAGCATCCTAAGAAAAAATAAAAAACATGAGCATGGGAAAAAATAAAAAAAATATTATATGACCCAAACAAAACCGAAAAATGGGCTTGTGTCATCAGCATGCCACTTACCTCAACATCCTCTCCCTGCTCAACACTCCGCGCAGGTCCTGGCTGGCGATTAGCAGGAGCTTCGAGTTCTGGCGAAGCGACTGACTTCCAGAACGCTGATTAAGCAACCCAAAAAAGAAAAGAAATCATGAAAAAAGGACATTAGCATACGTGCATAAGTTGAAACCAACTCAAAAACATAGAAAAAGTGAAAAAATACATCTTCTTCATTGCCATTCGCATCTCCTCCTATTATAACCATTTTTGCCCTGCGGGAGGAAATACAACAAAAGAAAACATAGTTAGAAGATGCGGAAACAATCTAGAGAAATCATAGAAGGTTTGCTTTGAACTGCATACATCTACACATAAGCAGGACACAAAATGCAAAAAACCAAAAAACATGTGGACAACCAACTACTACAATGATGTAGCCAACTGAGCAGTAAACCTTGTGCAAACTAGAGAGCATATAAGTCAACTAACTATTTTCTGCCTATGTATTACTTGCCAACTGTGACAAGTAATACATCAGGGGAAACACATGAAAACAACCACATCCACAACAAAGACTTGCACATTCAGAAAAATTAAATTGGAAAAATTGGCAAGCATTGGTACTAATTTGCACAATCAAGGGGCCCTAGTTGCACAAAGCAGGAGAAAACACATGAACCACCACAGCAACCACAAGGCTGGTGGATTGGGTAGACCATTGGTGCTAAATTGCACAAACAAACTGGCAACCATTGGTGCTAAATTGCACAAACAAGAGTCCCTAGTTGCACACAGCAGAGGGGGAAACAGCACAGCCAACTAAGTAGAGCAACTAGCACAAAGTGTATAATACATAGACATCCAAGCCAACTAGTAAAGGTGATGCAGCCAACTAAGCAGGCAACTTGTGCAACTGAACACCGTATAGACAGCCAACTAGTACAAAACAGTGAGCCAACTGACCAAAACAACTGCTGCAACTACAGAGCATATGGACAGCTAAGTACTATATGGACGCAGCCAACTAAGCAGAATTTTGTGCAACTAACCACCTAAATTACTGGAAATTACTGAACACCAACTACAAAATCAACCAATGCATTGCGCGCAACATTGCGCACATCTAACACAACTTGCAGAATGACTAATAATCATGAACAGATCTCAAAACTCTCCAAAATTGAACGGAACATGAACTAAACAGCGAAATCGCCCTAAAACGGCGCCGTGGACATGCATCCCTTCTACCTAACGACTACCGCGTACCCTGACCAACTACACGTTGACCCTGGCCAGCTCCACCTCCCCTCGCCCCGCCGCCAGCCATGGCCTCCCCCTCCCCAATGTTGCCCTCC